GGAAATTAGACAGTTGTGAAAATGTTCAAGTTTCAATATTGAGGAAGTGATGACACAGATGGACATAGCTTTTTTACAAATTGCCGATTTTTTTCTTGAGATGTTGAATTTCTATATTCATTCAAATTTTGAGTAGCATTGATTTCAAGTATAAAATACTCTCAACATGATAAAATTGTGAGGGGAGATGTCTCAAACTCAAGTGGCTTCAATTTGGGTACAGAACAGCATCTGTATGCCTCATACTTTCTTCACAATGCCTCAAAAGCCAAAAAATCAAAAACTACAGTGGGATCTCACCACAGTTTCAGTCATTCAAAACCACCATCTAGAATATCAGTGAAAAGGCGTTTATAATTTCTTCTCTTGAATTTCCATAATCTCTTACAGAAATCAAAATATGATGTATGTAGTATAAGGAGAATAAGTAGATATTGTAGTTACTGGGAAAGTGAATATTTCCAATACAATTTAAAATATGATAATAATAATAGTCTTTAATAATCCCATGAAACAAGAATGTCTATAATGGGGATAGAATGCAAAATATTGATTTAATGAATTATTTCAATACTTTCATTTTGGATCTGGGAATTATTGACACAAAATAAGTATTTTTCTAGCTAATACCAAGACGCATATTCAATTTACTCCAAAAGCCATTTACACAAGTTTTACCAAAGGATTTATGACTGCCCGTTGTCAACTAAGGAAACACCTTCATAATATAGGGCTCGTAGACACACCTCTATGCAAGATGTGTGAACAGAAAGATGAAGCTGTCAGGCAACAAATTTGGGTATAGGCATTGTTATACAAAGTGGGCCTAAAATGTGCTGAGAAATTAAAAAATGTAATAAAATATTGCATGTTTCTTTTGAAATGAGGAAGTTGCCCTCAACTTCCGGTATAACAGAAAGAGACCGGAAGTTGAAAATATTTTAATTGAGAAGGCCATTTTGTGAAACCCACTACCACAAACGATTTTGAATTGTTCTCCATATATTCCTATTCCTCCATATATTCGTCGTGAAAGACCCTGTATTTTATGTGATTATATGAAAAAAAAAAGTAAAAACAATTGAATGTTTTTTCACAAATCATTTTCGAATTCTAAAGCATCTTCTGTGAGCTCCAGCACAAATAGTGTTGTCAGCTTGGTCAGTCCGAAACTTCTATAAAAGGCCATATCATCCATCTCCTCGAAATAGTTGGGCCTCCTAAAAATTCTTCGTGAATATCCAAAATCAATGATGTGTAAGATGCCATTATTGTTTTTCAGCATGATTTCATCTTCAAGTTCCATCGTTCTGCAACAACTGATTTTAATTTTACAAGTCCGTTTACTGAAACATTTCAGCAATACAACACTTTGTTATTATTATTTCCAAAAATGAAGAATAAGAAGTGGGGTTCTGATGTATATGTTACGGGCATTTTGATAAGTCCGGGCACTATTAATAATGGCCGTTCTGTATTCATTCACTTTTCCCGGCCATTATGAATAATGCCCACCCTATCTTGGGCAAAATAATAAAATAGGTGAACTGTGGTGTTTTT